TAAAAATGTAAATCTTTTCAGCCAGAACAACAAGCAGAGTTAGCAGTATGGGAAGAGGGGAAACTTGCATTTTCATTTTGCTCAGTTTCGCATTCAGGTGGACAGAACTGGAGGCAGCAACCTGTTAAGATGTTGTATTGATTGGGCAGCCAGGACTTCTCACTGGAGGTGAACAAGGCAGGGCAAAGCAGGGGGATATGGACAGATGGGTCTGGTCGTCCCCCCCTTGCAGCAGCAGTAGCTGCTTCCCTCTGGTCCCACAAGGGCACCCACTAGACCTGTCCTCTTCCAGCAGCTGAGCTGTTGTTGAAAGCCTGCATGTGAGCCCCACCAGGCTCAGGAGCACAGGAAGCTGCTGGAGGCAGCAGGGTGGGGGCAGGTATCGCTCTCTGCCAGGGGATGATGGGCAGTTGCCGTCTGCTTTAGGCAGCTGCCAGTGTAGAGTTCCCCACCCTCAGGCTGGGTGGTAGGGATGGCAGGGTGCTCACTCATCCCCCAGGACAGGTGGGAGGTGAGGTGGCAGCAAGGCAGGGCACCATCACCCCATGGACCGGGATGCTTCTCAGCACCCACCGTGTCCAGGATAGGATGCCGGGGCAAGGAGCCTGCTGCTTGCAGAGTGGCTTTGTCTCTAGCAGGCTCACTGGGGAAGCAAGTCACATGGGAGTATTTTTTTGCCAGTATCCTCTGGCAAAAATACACTTTTTCTCTTTGTTTTCCAGTCATGCAAGAGAGCCACAGGGATGATTTTCTGAATGAGACACAAGAGCTCAACAGCTCTGGTACAAGATAAGAGGTTACAGAGGGGAATTCTGTGAACGCAAAACTCAGAGATATCATTATGGCATTGAAACCTTAACCTGGACATCATTCGAGCTCTCCTTTCTCCTCCAAATCCCACTCCTAAAGCCAGTGCTTTGCAGTCAGTCTTCCAGGTTCTCCAGGCCAGCAGTCTACAGGCTTCAAGCTATTATTTGGAGCAAAACAGGAGTTAGAAGCAGTATCTGTAAAAGCAAGCATATCCTTAGGATTTAGTGCTCTAGTGGTGTCAACAAAGCCAGGTAACACTCCTGGGCAAGCAATACTGCAAGGAAAAAAAAAAGAGAGATTTTCTTCTTGGTTATGGATAGCAGAAATCCAGAGTTTCTGTCCAGGAGTGGGGTTAAAGCAGGTCCTCTTGTGCATGGCTTGGCTTGGCAACTCTTTGGAGGTGGACTGCTGTGCGTGCTGGTGGTCTTCCCTTGTGGGTGTGGAAGGGGAGGGGGACAGGGCTGCCAGGGAGAGACAGGAGGGTGCCAAGCTCTTTCTCAGTGCAAGTCCTTTGAAGTCCATCCTAAGTAATCCCTGCTGAAAACCGGCTGCAGGGCCTTTCCATGTCTCCACAGGCTCTTGGACTTTGCTCTTCTCTTCCTCCTTGTTGCAGAGGGGCTTTCTTGGCACTTCTCGTCCAGCCTTCGCAAGTGTGGTCAAGCCTCCACATTTCTTTACCTAGCATTCACTGCTGCGGCTCATAATACCTTGACAGAAAAACCTATTCTAACTGTTCATGTGTCTGAACTCCGTATTCCTGCCATAAAATATTTCAGCTCAGGCCTCGTTGCAGAAGGTGGGTTTCTCTTTGTTTTGTTGACTCCTTTTTTCGGTTGTGCTGTTCATTACCTGTTCCATGTTAGCATGCTTTGGCACACTGTGGTGGTTTGAAAAAAACCTTTTCCCCTGGGGCTGGTGATAGTCTGCCCCAGAGGTGGTGGTTTTGATACTGGATCAATTAAAAATTTTGTGTGGAAATTACATACTCACAGAATCAGAAGAGAAGAGGTTAATTTTAACTG